CCGAGTGAAGGGAAAAGCACGACGAGCTCCGGCCGTGTCGAATGCAGTTTCTCCTGGTGCCGTGTGAGATCGTCGTGATGAGACTTGCAGCGTTGGCAGTGTACCTTCCCACGACCACGCAGGTGGCACAACTCCGCCATGTTGTTGTCGTTTTTGTCATTTGATGGCAACCGTGCCGCCTGGGATAAAATCAAGTCTCAAAGTGGTTCTGATTTGCCTTTCCCTAGTGGCCGAAATATGGAACACGTTTTTCTGAACACTTGCCAACTGTGTGTAATTGTTGTTATAAATGCCTTGAGCCTGGTGCAATCACTGTGGAAATCCATATGGAGATACCTCAAAGAGCTGGGACTAGAGGTTCCACTTGACCCAGCCATCCCTCTGCTGGGCATCTTTCCAAGAGAATTAAAAGAATCATATCACAGTGATATATGCTCACCTATGTTTATAGTGGCACAGTTTGTAATAGCTAAAACTTGGAAACAGCCCATTTGCCCATCAGTTGGAGACTGGATAAAGAAGATGTGGTTTTTCTATAAGATGGAATATTACTCAGCCATAAAGAATGAAAAATTGGAGTCATTCATAGGAAAATGGATACATACTGAGGATATACTCCTCAGTGAAATAAATAGGTCACACATGTGTAAATGCCAAATAGTTTTTCTGGTGTGAAAAACTATAATAGCACGTAAGATCCTAATGAGATAACTGACAATGTGAAATAGGAAGAAAAGGGCTAAAGATGTAGGGAAAGTAGGGAGGATAGGGGAAAGGTAATAAGGGAAAAGAAAAAAATATGAGAAAATGAAAAATGGAAATAAAGGGTTTGTAAATGGGGAGGGGAGGGGCAAGGGGGAAAACATGAGAACCACGATCTTGTAAAGGTCCAAGATCCCAATGATGAATGTAACTGTACTGTATACCTAAAATGAACCAATAAACTCAGTGAGAGAACAATAGTAAAAATAAGTGCCTTGGCATGGCTGCCGCCTTTCTAAGAAACAATTTCCCTCCTCCCGATGTTTCCACTTCCTACATAAGGCGTCACCGGTCATAAATAGAACCGACGCGCGAGCAAGGCTCGTCCGTGTAAGGAATAGATCACAAATAATGACCCCCGAGCGGCTGCCCGCGCAGCCCACAGGATCCCGGCCCACCCGCACCGTCACCCACTATATAACCAAGCCCCTCCACCCAGCTTCCTCCCTGCTTTTCTTCTCCCTTCCCGGAGCGGCTCTGCAATAAATCTCTCGTACAGCTCTGTCCGCGTGCAGAGTGATCTTCGGCACGTGCCGGTTTCTTTCACTTGTGTCGAGAAGCGTCTCTTCAGATCATCCGTGGATTTTTGGCTGGGTTATTTCTTGTAAATTACTTTTCTTGTATTGGGGATCGAACTTGGGACCTTGTGCTTGCGAGACAGGTGGTGGGCTACGGCGCTAAATCCCCGGTCAGCTGGGTTATTTCTTGAGAGGATGCTCCAGCTGTTCGTGTGCTCCAGATGTTAGTCCTGCAGTGGAAGGGCAGCTGTCACGGCGTAGGTTTTCCCCTCAGGGACATCGCCTTGCTGTGCAGTAGCATTGACGTCTGAGGTGCCTTGATTCCTTGAACCTCGCTGTTATCTCCTGAGCTACTGGAGTTTTAGTCAGGAAGTCTTTGCCGGTGCCTATGGCTACATGTGTTTCCCCTGTGTCTTCCTCCAACAGTTTCAGTGTTTGTTTTTATTATTTCTGTGCTATTGTTTTTATAACAAAATTCTATTTAATTGGCTTAATATTTGAGAGACACAGTACCACGATCATTTTGGAAATTTGATGCTGGCACCCATTCGGCTGTGTGGACCCACGGAATAGAATTGGGTTTTCCTGTGGCTTCCGGGACCAGCTCAAATCCCCAAGGGCTGCAGGTCCACGATCCAAGGCAGTGTCCGATCCTGGGACCACTTCTGTGGCCACGGTGGCTCTCTTTGTGCTCTTGAGGAGGCCGTCGTGGGGACATCAGGTGAGTGGTTGTGGTCCGCGGAGGTCAGTGTTGCCTGCTTTTGCTTGTGGCTGGGCGGAGGTTGGGAGGGGTGGCGTGGACAGTGCTCATGGTGGGGGCTGCTACAGGGAAAGGGAGCTGACGGCTCAGACTTAAAATGTTGCTGCACGGCAAAGGAAACAACACTCAAGGGACCTACAATCTACAGAATGAGAAAGAACACTTTGACGGTGAGTGCAGGGTCCACGGCGGATGTCGCCCTGCTTGGTCCCAGAGCGACACAGCGGGGTTCTCAGGCGTCAGGTCCCCTGGAGGGGGCTCTAGGTGAGTGGAGCGTGTGACCCTGCTGGAGCACAAGGACTCACGCGTTCACACACTTCCGGGCAACACGGAGGTCCCCATCCATCCCGACGGGGCAGTTCAGATTCCCACTCTAAAGGACCGAGGCCCCGTCACTGGGAGCAGTGAGTCTCAGGGTGCTTTTGTCTTTAGACAGCTTGTTGAGTCGCTGGGAGAGGAAAAGCTGTGCCTTTGCTCGTGGAGAATGATGCTCTCTTTGCCCTTCAGGGCATATCCATCCCTCCAAAGTTCCTCCTCTCCCTCTGCTGCCCTTACAGCTTCGGTGGATTTGTATGAAACCGTGAGAGTTCTCTTCTTAGCAGATGTTATGTTCAAGACAGAGTTGTGCAGATCCCTGGATGCTGCACGACGCTGGTCCAGGCCCCTCGTTCCCTCCTCCATGTTCTGAGATTTGGTGTCTGCTGGAGACCACTCCTCCTGCACCGCTCCGCGGGATTCCCCAGACGGGACTCAGTCTTTCTGGTCCTCTGTAAATCCTGCTGCAGATCTCTCACAGGAGATGTGCAGGTCCTGGTTCCTTGTGACAAAATCAGAGCAGGAAACCCACAGAGGAACCGAGACTCGGCCTAGAGGTGCGGGGGAGACTTAGGGGCAGAGCCCAGCCTTGTGCAAGAGCAGCTCCCTTCCTGCCCGGCAGCCGGTGTCATCGCCCTGTGACCCGGAGTCGGGCCCAGGCCGCCCATCCCGTCCCGGTGAGTCCCCTTGGCCGGTGTGACCGCCAGCGGAGCGGAGCGCTGTGGACCTGCTGAGGAGGCGCCATGCCCCCTGGGATGGCTCTGCTGCTCGGACTTGGTGAGCACTGAGGGGAGCGAGGAGGGTGGCGGGAGGGGGGAAGATGAGCCCAGGGTTGGGGTCCCGGGGTCCCTGGGTCCCAGGCGGACGCCTCTCACCAGGTCTCTGTGTTTCAGTGTCTGCTCTGGACCGGGGGCTCTGGGCCCACAGCGGTGAGTTCCCCTCCCTTCAGTCCTGGGGCTCTGCTTGAGGCTGGGCCGGGGTGGGAGGAGCCCGAGGTCTTGAGCTGACCCGGAGGAGCCGGCCGAGCCCTGCCCTGCCCTGCTGGCCGCACTGTTCCCTGTGCATCTGCACTGAGGAATTGTGCTGGGGCAGGATCACCCTGGACACTCGCAATGTCAGTGGCAAGCACGGCTGGCCTGGACTGAGCAGTGTGGACTCAGAGCTGGGACTGGTGGCAGGGCTCCCGCCTCTGCAGGCTGGGGCTTCTCTGTTCGAATGACCTCTACTGTCACATGGGCTGTTTCTGCCTCTTTCTCTCAGCTCGGGTCAGGCCCTCTTGTCCAAGTCAGGTGTGAAGGAAAATGTAGACCTCAGTGTGTGTCACTTCCGTCCTTTTTTCAATTTAACTTTTGCCTCTGAGACCTGGCTCCTTTTCCTCAAATCATAACCTGGAATGGCCACCGTGAGGACGGAATCCACCCAGCATGAGGGGTAATGCCCTGCCCCTCTGCTTAAAACTGCTTGATAATATTCACTGCACTCCTATTTCCACGTGGCCAGGCAGTGTTTTCAGCGCAGTTTACTATGACTTTGATATCTCCTCCTTGCTCTCAAGAGAGCCATGTTCATTCCCACTTAATGCAGATATATGGGTCCCGCCTGTGACCCCAAAATTGCCGTGTGTGATGCAGACATCCAGAAACCCTCTTGGCCCCTAACTGAAGGAAAGAAATATGAACACAGTGAATCATTCACAGATTGGATGTGTTATGAGGAAGAGGGTGCTGAGGGGAAGTATGCAGTTTGGGAAGGCACCGGGCATGTGCTGGGGCAGACGCAGGGGTCACCATTGTACTTAGTGAGGTGTTGGTATTGTGTCCTGAGGGGAGGGGCTGGAGCCGTGGGGGACACCGTGTGGGGGAGAAGCTGCCGCCGCCGCCGCCGGGGCCAGGCCGTGGGCAGAGTGTGCAGCACTGGGGGTGCGTGAGCGCGAGGCGAGGAGCAGTCAGGGCCACAGAGCCGGGAGGACCCTGCTCCGTGCTCCCCAGTCTCTGTGAGCGGCAGCAGAGCCCCCCAGGCCGGGCACAGAGCACAGCACAGAGGAGACAGACACATTTAAACAGGATGCCAGGGCGAGGGATGGTCCGGGGCTTATGCAGAGAAGGTGACAAAGGAAGACCCAGCACTAAGCTCCAAGGAGACACGATGTCCTCCTGTCCCAGGGCAGCGGGGACAGTGGAGGTGATGAGAAGAGCAAGCCGGGGGACTCGTGCCAAGTGCATTGCAGGGTGGAGAAGCCGGCAGGGCAGTGCCAAGGAGCGACAGTGATTTTCACATCGCAGGGACATCCAGGGTGGTAAGGCCTTTGTGAATACGCAGGGCCTCAAGTGTGCGCAGGATTCCTTACAACTTTTCACTACCAGGAACTAATTCAGAGTTGGGTAACCTAGTGTGGGGTGTGTGTGTGTTTGTGTGACAGTGTGTGTGTGTGCGTGCGTGTGCAGTGACAGGTGCTAGGCAGACGAGGGACCCGTGATCGATACAAGTGGGGAGATGAACACCCAGCGAGGCGACAGGCAGGCGACAGGCAGGCGCAGAGACCGCTGTTTGGCAGACCGGGAGCGTGCGTGCATCCGTCCCGTGGGGACACAGGCTGCAGGCTCAGCGCAGAGACCCTGCGAAGCTCAGCAGTCTGGTGGTGATGGGAATCAGCCGTGGACAGGGACAGTTTGTGCAGGGAAACTGACACGTGCGCTCCTGGAAGCCCAGTCGGGTCTCATGGCACAGTAGGGTGGTGTCACGTGGTGAAGGATCTTCAGGTCTCCTAAGTGTGCCCTGTCCTGTCCCGCCATGCCCCGTGTCAGGGTGGACGGTGGCTCAGATCCTGGGCTCGGTGCCCCAGACACAGTGTGCGCGGCTCAGAGACCTTGGTGTGAGGACGGGAACTCTCCCGACCTCAGTGCCTGGATTTCCTCTTCTGTGTCTCTCCAGGCTCACCCTCCCAGCCCGGCATCTGGGCAGTGCCCGGAGCTGTGATTCCCCTGGGTAGTTCTGTGAGCATCTTCTGCAGGGTCCCTCCCGGGGTGACTGCATTGCGTCTACTTCAGTCAGAACCCAGAGAAACATGGTATGAAAGAACCCTTGTGGGAACTCAGGTGGCGCTGGCCTTCTCCCTGCACAAAGTGACACAGAACATGGCAGGGACTTACTCCTGTCATTACTGGAAGCGGCACCTCTGGTCAGGACGCACGGAGTCCCTGGAGCTGGTGGTGACAGGTGAGGACCCAGGGACCTGCCCGCCTGGCTCTCTGCTGCCACCTCGCTGGACCCGAGGTGCCCACCACAGGGCCGGGCCTGCGTCTGCCCGCTGTCGGGCCCCCACCTCCCTCTGTGCTGACTGTGGTCCCTGCTCCCTCAGAGAGGCAGCTGGGCCCCAGGAGGCCCTCGTGGGACAGACTCCTGCTCCTCTCTGGTCCTGGTTCCCGGGAGATCAGAGAGGAGGGAGTTTGGTTTTTGTCCTTTTGATCCCTACACGTCCGGGTGGTGTGGATTTCTCCTCAGCTTCTGCGCGCTCGCTCTCAGGCCGTGATGGGAAAGGTTGGGCATTTTAATAGTGATTTTAGTAACAGCCTCCATTGCCTTCCAGGCCTCTTCAAGGACAAACCCTCCCTGACTGCCGCACCAGGCCCCCAGGTGGCCTCAGGAGGAAACGTGACTCTCCTGTGTCGTTCTCTGCACCCCTACGACACCTACATCCTGTGCAGGGGCGGAGCTTCCTCCCCCCAGGGCTGTTCACGCCAGGACCACAGCTCATTCCTCATCTCCCCTGTGAGTCCGGACCAGGCGGGGACCTACACGTGCTGTGGCTGTCCTCATTACAGCCCGCAGCAGTGCTCCGAGCCCAGTGAGCCCCTTGTGCTCTCTGTCACATGTGAGTGGCTGCCCCGTGTGTTCAGGGCCGTGTCTGGGTGTGTCAGGCGGGCGTCTCGGGCGGACTCTGCACGTTGTGACCGCTGCTGCTGTTAGTCTGGGCCCTGTTCCGTTGTCCTCTCCGATCCCCTACCGTGGGCTCAGACCCTGAGCCTCTGTGCTCACCGCAGTTTGTGCCCGGTGTAAGTGAGTTGTTTTGGGGCAGAGCTCTCTCTACCCTGTCACAGGAAGGGCCTGGGTGAGCGGTGATTACCCCTCAGCTGCTGCCTGTGTCCCCGCGGGCCCCTCCCACAGCCCCTCTGTGTGTGGGAGACAGCAGGAGCACCAGCAGCCGTTGTGACAGGAAAATTCAGGGTCCTTCATTCCGGATGAGTCTGTGTCTTCGGGTTCCCTGCTCCCTCGTGGGACGATGCTGTGACCACAGCGGCGTCTGTATGGCTGTGGGGACAGTGGAGAATGCAGGAAGAGTCCTGGCGGGATCCCCAGGATGCACTGTGGCCATGGTCCTATGGGCTCATGTGACAGGGGAGAGCTCCAGCCTTGGTGGTGGGTGTGAGCTCTGCCTCCTCAGCTTTTCCACACAACTGCGGCTTCTCAGGGCCAAGGGCGAGCACATGGCCCAGGTAGGGGAGCAGAGTGTTGGGAGGTCTGAGCTCATTCACACGTCTGATGACGGCCGTTGATCTGCTCGGCCCATCGTGAGCACCTCAGCGCTCTTTCTGCAGTGGCACATGTGACATGCACTCAGGACCCAGTCCGCACCTCCACTCAGCTCTTCCACCGCCATTGAGGGATGGACGTCTCAAAAAGGAGAGTCCCCCAAAGGCCGCGTCACTCTTGTGCGCTGAGCTCCTGCAGTCTGAGGGTGCTGGCCGTGGGGTTCAGGGGCAGGGTCACGTGAGCCCTCTCAGGTCTCCACGTGGCTTGGGGAGCTTGCTCGGGGTGCGATCTTCGTATCCGGGACAAGGCCTGAGTCCTTGGTTCCATGCTGGGTGGTTTCTTTCAGCCCCAGATCTCAGATGGAGAACGTCATCCGCCTGAGCCTGGCTGTGCTCGTCCTGTTCGTGCTGGGAGCTGTGCTGCTGGACGCCTGGAAGGACAGAAGTGGACTCTGAGGTGTGGCCCGCGAGCTCCAGGTGGAGAGCAGCACCCGGCTCAGGGTCCTCCGGAATCGCTGCTTCAGGAGACTCGAGGCTGAGAAGCACCTGCCCTGCCCGCTGTGGGGGATGGCGCGGCGCCCCCCACGCTGCTCCGGCTTCAGTACTAGACGTGCTGTCTGTGGGGGGACCCCCGCCATGGAGGGCCTCACTCCCACTGTGCCGCCGCCCTCTGACCGCACCGTCTGAGGTCTGCCTCTCCCTCTGCCTGCGCTGGGTGTTTCCCTCCTCCTCCTCCTCTTCCTCCTTGCAGCTCCCAGGCCTCCCTCTGATCCCTTCCTTTACTGCATTTCTCCCCTCCAAGCCCGGGGAGCACAGCCCCTCTCTTTGTTTCAATTATCTGGTGAGAGGAGAGCCGATTTTATGCCCCTGCTGGCTTCTTCTCAGCAATTGAGAGTTCTGTTTTCAGAGCAGAACCTCAAAGGTAAATGCTTCGGTGCAGGCTTGTCCTTATCGGGGGTGACGTTGGCTGTCCCCAAGAGCCCGGCCCCTCTTTCCCTCTTGGTGTCTGGGCGCCAGAGGCCCAAGGCTGCCTCCGCCTGGGCTTCCCAGCAACACAGCCCGGAAGCCATGCCCAGGCTGGGCCTGAGCCCTGGAAGCCCAGGCGTTGGTGGAAGGAGTGGAGCTGGATTCCTGCAGCAAGGGCAGCCGCCTGTGCCGATGATGGGCTGGGGACCGGGACGCAGCTCTCAGGCCAGAGGGCTTGGGGAGCAGGGGGCCGTGCCTCTGTTTCTCCCTCATCTTGTTGGAAACATTCTGCGCTCCCATGGGGGAGGATGAGGCGGAAGTAGAGGGACTGAGTCCACAGTCCTCTGTGAACCGGCATTGTGAGCCCCCTGCGGCCACTGCAGTGCGCACTCTGGCTGGGGCCAGCTCCAGCCCTGGCCCTGTGGGTTCACCTGTGTCCTCCCGCGGCAGCTGGAGCCCTGAGCAGACGCAGCTCTGACGTCTGCGGTGTTGCTACCCCTGGGTCCCTTGTGCCGCTGCAGTGATTTTCTCCCTGTGCCCTTGAAGAGGCAGCAGCGAGTGGTAGCAGCAGCTCCGGCCTTCGCCCTGAGGTGTAGCCAGGGTCCTGGGCTTGTGGGTGGGGACGAGCCTCTGTGTCTTAGCGTCGGTGTGGTCCCCAGGTGGACTGCAGTCGCCCACGGTGTCCTTGGCACCCGGAGCAGCAGCTGCAGGTTCCCGGGCCAGGAGCACACGCGAGGCTCTTGGTGTGTGGCTTCTGATGCAGCCAGCATGTGGCAGCTCTGAGCTCGTCTGCAGCCAGAAGGCACCGGGTCCAGGAGGCCCCAGCAGCCGGGGTGGTGCTTTTTGTGAGGACAAGCAGGAGGCTTGACCGAGGTGTAGCCTGGTGCTGAGCTGAGCGCAGGCCTGGGGCGCTGTGAGGGCTGTGTCCTTGTGGCACAGGGGTCCTTTCTTGGGTGAGGATCCCTGAAGTGGCCACTCCCTATCTCCCTACCGCCTCGCTGCTGACACCTTCAGGAGGACATGGAGCTCACGCCGGGTGTGCACAGGCCAGGGCCGCTGGGGTCCTGCTGGTCCTGGCCTCCCTCCTGCCACTCTGCAGCTGCAGTCCCTGCCTTCCTTCTCAAATCCGCTGGTTCCTGACCCACTGGCCACTCTGTGGCGACTGAGCAGCGTAGCTCACAGCTCTCCAAACCTGTGCTCCTGCTCTGGGCTGTGTGGCCAACTGTGCTAGGGCTGGGTGCTCATCTGAGGGTCTCGGACTCTTGCAGAAAGAGAAGACGCCTGGCTCCCAGTGCCGCTCACTGCCTGAAATCTAGTGGCACCCAGCCATGCGGGCCTGTGGCCTAGAGTGGAGGTCACTGCTCTCAGAGAGCGCTGAGTCCTGCTTGAACCTAAGAACCTCACACCGGGGATGAAACCCTACCCCTTAGGACCGCCTGTGTGATCTGCTAGGAGTCTGCCTCCCCCTGTGCTGCGGGTGCTCCAGGAAAGTGCGAACGATGTGTTCCTAGTTAGGGACATAGATCACAGCAACGCTGCCGAGTGAGGGCTCAGGGACGGTGACTGCAAAGGTCACCAACAAGCCCGAAGGGCCCCAGATGGATGTGTCTGCAGTGCGATCACAAAATCCTTGCTGCAGAGGAAGAGATGGATCCAGAGGATGAGCTGAGGGAGCTTAGGACCGGCAGTCTGCAGTGGTTTTCTCTCCCTTTGGGATGAGGCAGAACACGCCTTCACCTCTGCAGTTACCCTGTCAGAGCAGCTCCGCGTCCGCAGGGGCTCAGGAGAGCACACCTGCAGGCCATCAGCAGACCGGGGTGCTGTGGGGTCTTCCTCAGGATCAGCGTACTGCTCCAAGGCCTCTTGCAGCACCAGCAGCCCGGACAGCTCCGGCCTCTCAATCCCTGTTCTCAGAAGGCCTCAGGGGACCAGTAGAGGTGCCTGTTCTGCTTCCTGCTTAGGTACAGGTGAAGTCACTTCCCACGTGACCAAAACCACACTTGAGATTGGGCTGTGCCGCCCCACAAGCTGTCTGGAGGCTCCTGTAAGCTCGCATTTTGAACCATCTTCCTTTTTGTCTGTTTTGGGATTCCACCTTCAGGCCCTGTGTGTTAAATCTCGCCTGCATGTGCTGCTTTGGATTTTGTCCTCTTTGCGTAGTATTTGGTGCAAAGCCTGGGAGAGGCAGGCTTTGCGGGCAGAGCAGGGACCTGAATCTGCTTGAACAGCCATCTCCGGGCTCGGCGCTCACCGCTCTGTGAGCTTCCCCTGGTTCCTGCACCGCGTGACTGTGAGTGTCCATCGCAGACCCCGTTCATGAAGGAGGCCGAGGGTGGCAGAGAGGGCTGGTGCCTTCTCTGCATTTGAGCTCTTCCTTTTAGCCAGGGAAACCTTCCCAAGGGAGAAAACAACTCCACCAAGTTGAATGAACTGTCGTGGAGGAGACGGGGCATCCATTATGTTAGGAAACACATCCCTGGTGCAGTTGAGAAGCGGCATTTTACGCTTTACGGTGAAATGAAATTTGTAACTGTAATCTTCAGTGAAACTACTCGGACACACAGGTTTAAGACTGCATTGTTTCTCTTGCATGGAAACCCACAGGGTGGATAAAAAGCATGATGGAGGACAGGTACTGGGAAGTTGGAAGGAACTGTTCATCTGGGAGAGGAACCAAGGGAGGGCAAGAGGCAAAAGGAGAATGGGGGAAATGGAGAGAAAACTGCTGCAAAGGAGGAGGGGAGAAGAACGAGGAAAGGAACTCCAGCAGGTATTTTGCACAGGTGTGAATCCTCCATGATGCCTGTGTTGATATGAATTTCAAGTATGTAGTAATAAAATAAGTGAGAAAAATTTATGGTTAATCACACAGAAGTGCGTGTGACAAGACAAAAACAATCTATGAAGTCCTTTGTTGTGCAAGAAATCTGAAGCATCACAAACACTTATAGAGAAGTAGAGAACAGAAAGTTCAAAAGAGGCCTTTGTTAGAGAGCAAGTACTCAAGACGTTGGAGACCCGTGGGTTCGATGGCAATGGGCGTCCATTCCCAAGGCCCGGAGGTGAGCGTCCCGGCGAGGAACGCGGGGCGTGGGTGACAGAGCTGAGCGCCTCTTCGTGGGCAGCCGCAGCCGCTGCACTGCACCTTCTAGCACCTTCCCGACTCCCAGGTTCCTCCCACACCTCCTCTAAGCTCATCGCTGTTTCATGTTCGTAAGAACACAGAAGAGCTCACCTCTTACCAAATTCTAGGTGTGTGATACAGTGCTGTCCCCTGCGCCCTGGCTTCCTGCGCAGCCTCGCCGTCTGCTGCTGATCGCTGCCCCCGGGCCTCTTCTCTGCCCCCTTTCCTCCTCCCTCTCCGCAGGGTCGGATCCTGCCCGGAGACTACCCAGCCAGACTTGGCATAGATGCCTCAGAGGGAGCTCAGCCTTCAGCTCTCACAGAGGAGATGTGGAGACCCCAGAGGAGAGCGCTACACACGCTTCCCAGCACATGTGGCCTGGAAACCCAGAGCAGGAAACGTACAGAGGAAGTAAACTCAGCAGAGATGCGGAGGGGGTTAGGGGCAGGGCTCAGCATTGTGCAAGAGCAGCTCCCTTCCTGCCCGGCAGCCGGTGTCATCGCCCTGTGACCCGGAGTCGGGCCCAGGCCGCCCATCCCGTCCCGGTGAGTCCCCTTGGCCGGTGTGACCGCCAGCGGAGCGGAGCGGAGCGCTGTGGACCTGCTGAGGGGGCGCCATGCCACATCCCGTCCCGGTGAGTCCCCTTGGCCGGTGTGACCGCCAGCGGAGCGGAGCGCTGTGGACCTGCTGAGGAGGCGCCATGCCCCCTGGGATGGCTCTGCTGCTCGGACTTGGTGAGCACTGAGGGGAGCGAGGAGGGTGGCGGGAGGGGGGAAGATGAGCCCAGGGTTGGGGTCCCGGGGTCCCTGGGTCCCAGGCGGATGCCTCTCACCAGGTCTCTGTGTTTCAGTGTCAGCTCTGGACCGGGGGCTCTGGGCCCACAGCGGTGAGTTCCCCTCCCTTCAGTCCTGGGGCTCTGCTTGAGGCTGGGCCGGGGTGGGAGGAGCCCGAGGTCTTGAGCTGACCCGGAGGAGGCGGCCGAGACCTGCCCTGCCCTGTGGGCCACACTGTTCCTTCGTAAGTCACCACAGCGCCCACGGGAAGCACAGGTGAGCTGGACATGGGGTGCAGGCTGCAGAATGGAGACCCTCACACAGGGCCCGGTCCCCTGAGGGAGCCCTCCTCACTGTTGGAAGGAGGCTGCAGCTCACGGGATGCTCACGCATTCAGGAGACAGACGGGAAGCTCACGGCAGCCCTCGGTGTGTCCGCTCCGTGACCTTCTCCGCAACCCATCATGTGCTTTAGTCGCCCAGTTCCTGCTTTAGCAATAGCAGAACACCGCGGTGCTTCTGGGCGGAGAAGGGCAGCCAGTGCGGGAGGCAGTGCCGTGCGCCCTCAGTGCGTCACGAGCCGGATGCCCACCGGATTCCCACGCAGGCAGGCAGCCTTTGACGCTCTCTGTGTAGAGATGTGCACGTTCTCCTCCCGCAAGAGCAAAGTTCATTCCCCTTAGTGCAGGAACATGGGGCCCGGACCCCAGCACTGCTATGTGAGCCGGGCAGGCCCTGGAGAGACGTGGACATGAACACCCCGGGTCACGTCCACAGGAGCGGTGCTAGAGGAGGCGGAGGCTCAGGAGAAATGAGCCGGTGGACGGGCGGGACCCTGTGGCAGCGGGGGATTCCTGGTGCTGGGGAGATAGGCTTGCACGGGCCTGGCTGGAGCCGTGGGGGACACCGTGTGGGGGAGAAGCTGCCGCCGCCGCCGGGGCCAGGCCGTGGGCAGAGTGTGCAGCACTGGGGGTGCGTGAGCGCGAGGCGAGGAGCAGTCAGGGCCACAGAGCCGGGAGGACCCTGCTCCGTGCTCCCCAGTCTCTGTGAGCGGCAGCAGAGCCCCCCAGGCCGGGCACAGAGCACAGCACAGAGGAGACAGACACATTTAAACAGGATGCCAGGGCGAGGGATGGTCCGGGGCTTATGCAGAGAAGGTGACAAAGGAAGACCCAGCACTAAGCTCCAAGGAGACACGATGTCCTCCTGTCCCAGGGCAGCGGGGACAGTGGAGGTGATGAGAAGAGCAAGCCGGGGGACTCGTGCCAAGTGCATTGCAGGGTGGAGAAGCCGGCAGGGCAGTGCCAAGGAGCGACAGTGATTTTCACATCGCAGGGACATCCAGGGTGGTAAGGCCTTTGTGAATACGCAGGGCCTCAAGTGTGCGCAGGATTCCTTACAACTTTTCACTACCAGGAACTAATTCAGAGTTGGGTAACCTAGTGTGGGGTGTGTGTGTGTTTGTGTGACAGTGTGTGTGTGTGCGTGCGTGTGCAGTGACAGGTGCTAGGCAGACGAGGGACCCGTGATCGATACAAGTGGGGAGATGAACACCCAGCGAGGCGACAGGCAGGCGACAGGCAGGCGCAGAGACCGCTGTTTGGCAGACCGGGAGCGTGCGTGCATACGTCCCGTGGGGACACAGGCTGCAGGCTCAGCGCAGAGACCCTGCGAAGCTCAGCAGTCTGGTGGTGATGGGAATCAGCCGTGGACAGGGACAGTTTGTGCAGGGAAACTGACACGTGCGCTCCTGGAAGCCCAGTCGGGTCTCATGGCACAGTAGGGTGGTGTCACGTGGTGAAGGATCTTCAGGTCTCCTAAGTGTGCCCTGTCCTGTCCCGCCATGCCCCGTGTCAGGGTGGACGGTGGCTCAGATCCTGGGCTCGGTGCCCCAGACACAGTGTGCGCGGCTCAGAGACCTTGGTGTGAGGACGGGAACTCTCCCGACCTCAGTGCCTGGATTTCCTCTTCTGTGTCTCTCCAGGCTCACCCTCCCAGCCCGGCATCTGGGCAGTGCCCGGAGCTGTGATTCCCCTGGGTAGTTCTGTGAGCATCTTCTGCAGGGTCCCTCCCGGGGTGACTGCATTGCGTCTACTTCAGTCAGAACCCAGAGAAACATGGTATGAAAGAACCCTTGTGGGAACTCAGGTGGCGCTGGCCTTCTCCCTGCACAAAGTGACACAGAACATGGCAGGGACTTACTCCTGTCATTACTGGAAGCGGCACCTCTGGTCAGGACGCACGGAGTCCCTGGAGCTGGTGGTGACAGGTGAGGACCCAGGGACCTGCCCGCCTGGCTCTCTGCTGCCACCTCGCTGGACCCGAGGTGCCCACCACAGGGCCGGGCCTGCGTCTGCCCGCTGTCGGGCCCCCACCTCCCTCTGTGCTGACTGTGGTCCCTGCTCCCTCAGAGAGGCAGCTGGGCCCCAGGAGGCCCTCGTGGGACAGACTCCTGCTCCTCTCTGGTCCTGGTTCCCGGGAGATCAGAGAGGAGGGAGTTTGGTTTTTGTCCTTTTGATCCCTACACGTCCGGGTGGTGTGGATTTCTCCTCAGCTTCTGCGCGCTCGCTCTCAGGCCGTGATGGGAAAGGTTGGGCATTTTAATAGTGATTTTAGTAACAGCCTCCATTGCCTTCCAGGCCTCTTCAAGGACAAACCCTCCCTGACTGCCGCACCAGGCCCCCAGGTGGCCTCAGGAGGAAACGTGACTCTCCTGTGTCGTTCTCTGCACCCCTACGACACCTACATCCTGTGCAGGGGCGGAGCTTCCTCCCCCCAGGGCTGTTCACGCCAGGACCACAGCTCATTCCTCATCTCCCCTGTGAGTCCGGACCAGGCGGGGACCTACACGTGCTGTGGCTGTCCTCATTACAGCCCGCAGCAGTGCTCCGAGCCCAGTGAGCCCCTTGTGCTCTCTGTCACATGTGAGTGGCTGCCCCGTGTGTTCAGGGCCGTGTCTGGGTGTGTCAGGCGGGCGTCTCGGGCGGACTCTGCACGTTGTGACCGCTGCTGCTGTTAGTCTGGGCCCTGTTCCGTTGTCCTCTCCGATCCCCTACCGTGGGCTCAGACCCTGAGCCTCTGTGCTCACCGCAGTTTGTGCCCGGTGTAAGTGAGTTGTTTTGGGGCAGAGCTCTCTCTACCCTGTCACAGGAAGGGCCTGGGTGAGCGGTGATTACCCCTCAGCTGCTGCCTGTGTCCCCGCGGGCCCCTCCCACAGCCCCTCTGTGTGTGGGAGACAGCAGGAGCACCAGCAGCTGTTGTGACAGGAAAATTCAGGGTCCTTCATTCCGGATGAGTCTGTGTCTTCGGGTTCCCTGCTCCCTCGTGGGACGATGCTGTGACCACAGCGGCGTCTGTATGGCTGTGGGGACAGTGGAGAATGCAGGAAGAGTCCTGGCGGGATCCCCAGGATGCACTGTGGCCATGGTCCTATGGGCTCATGTGACAGGGGAGAGCTCCAGCCTTGGTGGTGGGTGTGAGCTCTGCCTCCTCAGCTTTTCCACACAACTGCGGCTTCTCAGGGCCAAGGGCGAGCACATGGCCCAGGTAGGGGAGCAGAGTGTTGGGAGGTCTGAGCTCATTCACACGTCTGATGACGGCCGTTGATCTGCTCGGCCCATCGTGAGCACCTCAGCGCTCTTTCTGCAGTGGCACATGTGACATGCACTCAGGACCCAGTCCGCACCTCCACTCAGCTCTTCCACCGCCATTGAGGGATGGACGTCTCAAAAAGGAGAGTCCCCCAAAGGCCGCGTCACTCTTGTGCGCTGAGCTCCTGCAGTCTGAGGGTGCTGGCCGTGGGGTTCAGGGGCAGGGTCACGTGAGCCCTCTCAGGTCTCCACGTGGCTTGGGGAGCTTGCTCGGGGTGCGATCTTCGTATCCGGGACAAGGCCTGAGTCCTTGGTTCCATGCTGGGTGGTTTCTTTCAGCCCCAGATCTCAGATGGAGAACGTCATCCGCCTGAGCCTGGCTGTGCTCGTCCTGTTCGTGCTGGGAGCTGTGCTGCTGGACGCCTGGAAGGACAGAAGTGGACTCTGAGGTGTGGCCCAGAGCACCAGCAGCCGTTGTGACAGGAAAATTCAGGGTCCTTCATTCCGGATGAGTCTGTGTCTTCGGGTTCCCTGCTCCCTCGTGGGACGATGCTGTGACCATAGCGGCGTCTGTATGGCTGTGGGGACAGTGGAGAATGCAGGAAGAGTCCTGGCGGGATCCCCAGGATGGCCTCAGTGGTCCTTCTTCACCCTTTTGGTTTCTCACAGCAGAGAACCCACGCAGTTTTGCGCCTGTGTGTTGGATCTATTTCCCTTCAGTGTGTGAACCCGACCCTAAAGCAGCCCGCCACGCACTGCCTGCCAATCCCTTTGCAGCCCTGCTGTGCTGGGACTCTGTGAGCTCCAGGTCCTGTTGGGATCGGCCCCCGAGGTCCATATCTCCTTCAGGAAGCACTGTGCTCCCCAGGCCTTTCACCTTTGCCTCTCACCTCTGAGCTGCGTGCAAATCTTCCCTGTTGGTGCTCTTATCCCTTCATGGAATTCACCAATGGGTGATGACTTGCCCATCTGTTGCCCGATTCTTCTGGCTGGACAGGTTTGGTACAGTTTCCCACATCTTCCTTGGTGCAAGATGTTTCCTTGGATTAATCTGCCGGGGCTCAAAAGCAGCTCCCTATCCTTTTCACCCCCAGGTCCAGCCGGTCCCACTGTGACTGTGATCGCCGCTGCCGCCGCCGCCTTCCTTCTCCTTGTCCTGCTCCTGCTCCTCCTCCTCTGCCTCTGCCGGCGTCAGGCCAAACGCAGTAGGTCCTGGGTGCAGGGTCCATCTGGAGGCTGCGGGGTGGGCGGGCAGCAGAGGCTTATCGCTGTCTCTCGCTGTAGGGGCTGCTCAGGGCAGGACGAGGAGCCAAAGGAGGTACGGCAGATGTGTGCACCCACATTTTACATCCCAGGGTTTCTATTTCTTGGACCTACCTTGACCTTTGTGTCTTCTTTCCCTCAGCTCCAGCCCAAGTGTGCAGATCCAGGGAGTGAATAACGGTAGGGCCTGAGCGGCCACGGAAATGGGGAACGGGAGCTTCCGGGTGGGCAGGAGGCGTCAGGGACAGCAGAGAGGAGCACGGACGGGGCCAGCTTGCTGTGCTGGCTCTGCCGGATGCTTGGACGCCGGGGGCCGAACGCCCACCCATCTTTCCTTGCAGACGGTGACTTGGAGCCTGAGGGGGATGGACAGAGGGACGCACAGGTGAGCAGCGCCTTCCAGCCGCTTCCCCGCCAGCCCCACCAGGCTCTGGCCCACGCTCTGTCTCTGTCTGGCAGGTCCCCGAGGCGGAGGAGGACCCCGGGGCGGTGACCTACGCCCAGCTGTGGCCTCAGGGGCTCAGGGAGAGCGCAGGCCTGTTCCGCTCCCCGGAGCCCGGGGAGCCGTG